TAGTGTAATAGGATCTATAAATAACAGACTAGTGGTTACTTTATGGGCATAAACGTAATTCGTGCGTCCCTGTACGTACTTTTGTGCGTGACACACGATTAAACTATCCTATCATGTAAATTTCTGCTGGGGCGTGGGTTGTATACACAAACGTTGTATATCCCGCACGCGTGTGGATTTGTTCACCATTACAATCTATGGTTTAAGTCTTTAAGAGAATCAACCGGTGGTGTGATGTTAAGCCTTTCACAGCGGGAGGTTACCCTAACTTGAATAAAATCGTCTGGCGGTAGCCAGAATAAAATGGCAAGTGCGTGACACACAGTGAAAGGGTTAGAGTATAAGTTTATCTCTGTCCGACTTATTTTGTTGTGTAGCAGCATTACGGCATCTTCATAATACACTTTTTCTCCCCAGGTGAGGGAGTTAGAGACCGAGGGATAAGGACTGTCGGGCCTCGCCTTCGAGACCATCCTAGGGGAATCGGTGTTTCTTTGCCTTATTGGCGAGTAAACAAATTCACTATTTCTGTTATTTATTCTTTTTATTCAATCACGAGTAGAAATGTATCGCCACATTATTCCTCTTCTTACAGTGGAGTGGATAATCCTCTTAAGATCCTGGAAATATATTTGGAATATACAAACAAACACACAGACAGTATGCATTTTGTTTTTACTGTGTTGGAATATTATCCTTAACCTATGTATGTCATTTCCATTTTACAGTTCACGTCAACGACTATATCTTTACGTATTCCAAATTGTCGTCGTCCAGCCTGGCTTCCCTGTTATACATGTTCACATTCACCATTTCCTTCTTTACCTAATATATTACGAACGGCATAAGTTGTTGGGCTGAATGTTTGAGATCATACTTATATCATTCTTTTAATAAGAATTTCGTTCATCATCCACTTATACCACATATTGTTTGTTTCAGGGTAACCAAGTGGCCATGGTCAGGAGAGGTGGTGAAGGCTGCCGGGACCGCAAACCTCCACTGTCAGGTAGGTCAAGTTGAAGCTTCTGCCACTGGTGAAAAGGCCCGGTGTCTCCTCTCTACTTTAGGTTGATGATGAAGTTGACAACGCTCGGAGTGTCCTTGCGGTAATTCAAGTTTCTGTGGAGGATTTGTTATTTTTTTTCATTAGTATTTGTTATCTTCAATTGGTTGAAGTTTAAGAAGTGAACATAGAACTCACTTGTCTTCTTTCCGCAGTATTGGACAGTATTGTTCCGCTTATTATTTTATCTATTGTGTCTGTATATCTCTCTTGGCACAGGATAAAAACAGACCTTTGTATTTGTAACTCAATATATCTATAGCAGATCAAGTCAGCTCAACACAGCCCAGAGTTACTTCGGTCTGTACAAAACTACACTAAATCTAAATAGATTTCTCGTTTAGATTTATTCATACACACAGAAGTGTAATATGATGATTTCTACAACTTATCGCCAAGTGGGAACTTGGCGGGAGACGGTTGCTAAAAAGCAAAATCCCCTGTCGGGGGGATAAAATGTTAAGACTTTTCCCTTGCTCGTCCCGACGTCCGTTGGTTTCCTTTATATTACTTAGGTAAGCGTTTTTTATCTTTTATTTTTTTAGGTTAAGGTGGGGAATGGTTGGAAGGCATGCTGGGGCTCAAGGCACAGCCAGACATGAGGGATGGAGAAGTCACAACATATAGTCGTGGGGGGAAAGGTTGGAAAAGAAGTTTAATGAGTTTAACAGAGGGGGACGACACCCCTTGTTTTACATATTACAGAGTTTGTTGGCTAACTAAGCTAACCTAGGATTTAGGATGAGGTTACACAAGGGTTACTTTAGTAGACAATGACTAGATTGATTTTACAATTACAAGTTTATTAACATCTTTTACTGTATTACGTTATTGACTCACTAGATTGTGACTTGTTAAATGTGAACTTATATCATCTAAGTTTTAATCTAAGGTGGATCACTGTGGCGGACATAGATGGTTCGCGGGTTGGGTTGTTGTAGTGCGGGCAGACTCCGGGGCCACCAGGCGTGGGGTCGCCCTCCGTTGATGTCTTCCTTGCGTAGGTGGTCTGGGCTGTGAGGGTCGTCCAGGAGCTTGTCCCAAACCTTCTTTCCTAGGCGATGGAACCTGACGTTGAGGGCCTCTGTTTTATTTCTTAAGTGGATGGGTTCCACTGTCTCCTGGCAGGGTGGCGCTTGGCCACTGGCTGACCTCAAACACTTGTTTTGGAAGCTCTGTAGTTGTTGTAGTCTAGTCTTCCCGAGTGTGACGAGTGGTATATGTGGGTACTCCAACACAGGCCTCACCAGCGCCTTGTACAGGTGAACTTGTATCTTCTCAGGCATCAGTTTAAAACGTTTTAATTTGGCTTCTGTGAATTTGGCTTTATTTAGTCTGTCCTTCACGTGGGGAATGATGCCCGTCCGAGAAATGATGAGGCCGAGCAACCTGTCTTGTTTAGAGTACTCAATCTCTTCGTCGTCGATCATCAATGGCGCCGGCTTGAATTTGGCTATGGGTATGACCTCGAATTTCGTTTTGTTTGCTTTTATTTTACATTTATTTTCATACTCCGAGATCTCCTCTATTGCCCGAGCAGTGAGTCGCGCCATCCTTGCTGTGGACCTTCCTGGGCTGGTGACGATCTGTGTTACATCGTTGGCATACATGACGTACTCGCTGCCGACGATTGGGGGTGGCAGGTCAGCCGTGTAAAGGGTTGGTGAGAGACAAGAGCCCTGAGGCACGCCGCTCGAGAGTGAGAATTCTTCTCCAAAATGTTCTTACATCTTGATTTTGGCTCTGCGGTCCATAATGAAGTTGCACAGCAGTTGCGTCAGGTTTTCGGGTAGCCCCAGTTGTATGATCTTATACTGCAGCCCCGCGTACCAAACTTTATCAAACGCCTTGCTAACGTCCCTCAGTACTATGTTGCACTGCAGGCGGCCAGTCATGGCATTGGCGATCTGCTCGTAGGCCTGGGCTATGGCGGTGGATGTGCCTCGGTACTGGCGGAAGTCGAACTGGCGGGGATTATGCACGTCTTCGTCCTCCAGATACATCCGCAACCGCTTGTTTACTATTTTTTTGACGATTCTGGCAGGTACCTCTAGCAGCGATATTGGTCGAAAGTTTTCGACTTTGCTTGGAGGCTTCCCTGCTTTTAGTATGAGGCGAATAACGGCGATTTTGAACATCTTAGGGAAGTAGCCAGAGGCGAGGCAGGCGTTGAATATATGAACAAGCCTCTCTATCATGTTGTCGGGGAGTTGAGCCAGGATCTTCTTGTTGATGTGGCTTTGTCCAGGTAATTTGTTTTTAAACCCTTTTATGATGGCTGACACATCTGCAGGAACTATGCGTTCCGTCAGGTAGCTTCCGTCCACCAGTTTAGTGAAGTCAGTCCGTGGGAGCGGTTGGAGCAGGTGCTGATGGTCCTTCAACTGACCTAAAATGTCCTCCTCAAAATCCCTGTCGAAGCCCTCGTTCTCCTGTTCACTAATGGTAAAGATCTTACGAAAATATCGCCGATGTAATTGCTCTTGGTTTTCCTCCTCGAATATTTTCGTTGTTTTGGTCGAGCAGGTAAGGGACCGTGCTAGAGGTGGAACCCATCAGTCGCTTGATCCCTTTCCAGAATGCAGCAGAATCGCGGTAATTGTTGGCTGCCTCCCACACCAAGGCGGCCCACTTTTGTTCATGTAGACGTTTGCTCTCGTGCTGTAGCTCTCGGTACCGGTCTCTCAGCTCTTGCGTCCACCCGCGGATACTGGCTAGCTGTCTCACGTGATCGTACTGGACACGAAGATGCCTCAGCTGGTGACTAGTGTGAGGATGGGGAATGGTCCTGTAACTGGTGGTCGGGATGTTGTTGTCCATCTCCGTCTTCACATCCGTGTACCATTGTTCGACCGCGTCGTCGATGTCATTAGGGCTGGCTTCTTCCAGGTTTCTCCCCTGCTTGAGACTGAGAAACTCCTTGAAGGAGTCCCAGTCTGCCCGCTTGAGGTTTGACCTGATGTTGGCGAGGATCATAATGGGATTGGATGAGAGCGTCACGACGACTGGCAGGTGATCGCTGGTACTGATGGGTCAGGCGGTAACGGCCTCGTTGTAAGAGAGGATTATGTCTGGTGTTGTGGCACTGGCACGTCTGATCAATGTCGGGAAATCTGGCCCGAGGTGTTGCAGTTTTTCCCTTCTGATGTTGTCATACAGCGCCACACCGACGTTGTTCTCATTACCGTGTCCGAGTATGGCGTGGCGCGCATTTAAGTCCCCTATGATGTATGTTGGTGTTCTGTGGCGTAGCAACTGGTTGAGGTCTTGTTCGGGTAAGTAAGGACGTCTGGGAGGTAGGTACATTGTGCATATGATAACAGGTCCCCTAGTTGTCTCCACCTGCACTCCTAGAACTGAATCCTCGAAGTCTGGCAACACTCTGTGACTCAGCCGTGACCTAACGGCCACAGCGACACCATCGTTCAGCTCACCCGTCATGTTCCTCTGGTATACAGTGTAGCCAAACATTTTCAGCTTACTTCCGTCCCTTATGCCAGTACTGTTTAACAGAATGATGTCTGGGTCTAATTGATAGTATAAGTTAGTTAGTTCGTTACGTCTATTAAGGGACCAGTATCGGACATTATGTTGGACAATTTTCATCCTGCTAACGACTGTCATTTCGGAAACTGTAGCTTGGGGCGTCGCTTGAAGTGTTTGCTCGGCTTCTGCCATTTCTAGGGGGACGGAACTTCTTAGCAGAACCTTCGGACATCTGCTTGTCAGTTAATGATGGTCATGCAGGTAAGACAAGTATATAGTGGTGGCTTTGGACTCGTCCATCAGTGGAGAGGAGACGCTCCTGATGCTCTCCGCCAGGACTTCCATGGTCTCGATGACATTGTTGAGTTTTTGGGAGTCTGCTTGAGTTTCTTTCAGAGCGTCTTTTAGGGTTTGGCTGTAAGCCATGAACGTCGACTGAGTGGTCCTTCCTATGGTGTTAGAAATTTCCCTGGTTTCTTTTTGTTTGGTTATTTCAGTCAGTTTCTTCTCTGTTTCTTGAGTTACCTGTTCCCTGACCAGGCAGGTGGCAGAGAAGGTCCAGGTAAGCTTAACTTAGCTTCGGTTGGCGTGTCATGTGTGGAGGGATAGCGAGCAGAATAGATAGTGAAAACTGATCAGCATTTGTTAGGCCGGCACACACATACATTCCTACAGATTGCGGCGAGGTGATGCGGAGGTGTTGTGGAGCGTCACTGAGCCACACGAGCAACATAACCATGTATCACAAACTTTAGACAAGCCAGGCCAGCCAGGCCTTTCGTACAGGATGACTAATGACTGGCCTGGGACCCGCACCTCTGTACGCCGACACCACACAGAAATGGTTCAGAAATTGTGAGTGAAATACAGAGTGACTGCTGGCCCATTAAGCTGCAAGTGACAATATTCATATTCTCCATTTGAAAATTTAAGCGTATCAGAATCCCCGACACCGTAAAAACTGCCGGCGGATAGCAAAGTTTTACAAGCACAGGATTGTAGTCGTATGGATTGTGTCATCGAAGCCGATTCCAAATTTTATGACAAAGTTTTAACTATAAAATTACAGAGAATCATGACGTCTGCTTACATTTAGTTAATAACCAGAGATGTGTTGTGATAACGTAGGAATATGCAGAGTGAGGTCGCCCACTGTTGGATAACAAAATAATAAAATTCGCCAAAGATTCGCGTAGCCTAAATACTACAGTAAAAACATCAAATACCAACATGTGATAACTCTGTGATGTGTTGATATTACACAATAATATAATTCACTGAGTTGTATAAAGTTTGTCAGGTCATTAAGATCAATTATATGATGCAGTTCCGAAGATTAACTATGACTATCTCGTTATGTTTTACTTTGGGAAATGATTCGTTACAACAGTGTATGAACAAGAAACAATTATTACTATAGGAGTTATTAGGTTCACTACTCTAACACTAAATTGATTACTATATTTGGTAACATGCTAGCCCACAAATTAACTACTGCAGTAATTTGATTATCACTGTCATATGGCTGTGTTGGTTAAGTCTGTCTGTCTTCATCAATCCTCTAGTAACATATAACCTTATCTATGTACAAAGCTTAGATTAAAGAAACCCCCTGGCAACCCCGTGCAGAGTCCAAAATCTTAAAAGTTATACGCGCATATTTCACTCACGAGAAAAACACAACATACTCTTGTAGCTTGCATAGAGAAGTGAATACATAAGCCCGACCCTTTAAACCGAGACTGGCTTCATGTTTACGGTCAGTTTAGGGGATGATAGTTAGGTAACTGGAGATAAGTTTAATCTATGAGTTAGTTTAGTGTTTTGTAATGGGTAAATAAAGTTTTAAAGTTATAAATATATTAGGATGATTTATAAGGAATTATTTTAAGGTGATAAGGGTAATGATTTCTAAGGGATCAGTTTAAGGTGACTTAAGGGTTAGTTGAGAGGAGCGTCCCTGGGCACAGTGCGGGGACGTCAGCACAGCAAGGTCCTCCCCCTCTGAGTTGTCCAGCACCTCCAGCTGTGGGAGGAGGGTGTCCGTACGCCCACCCGCTGCCGCCCATCCTTCACTAGCGTTTAACGGCGCCCATGTCCACACCCCCGACACCACCTCCACCCTGGAACACAACGACAAACACCTGTCTCATGCACCTGTTCTATTTAGCTGAGCATAAAGTTTATACATTTTTAAGATTTCAGTGTTTTGGGGCATAATTGATCGATGCCTTACACCGCGATGCACACACAGGTTGAGTCAGTTAGAGAGGTAAAAGATCATTACAGTTTATCGACCTTCTCACAGCGTGTGGTCCAACTGTGTCTACAAAAACAGTTTATACAGCTTTGTCTGTTTGTGGTAAAAAAAGTAAAGGACATCAAATGAGTCTTGGTAGAATACCTGGAGACTACTACTTACTCTCTAATGAATATGAAACAGAACTGCCTCCTACAGTGGCTGCCCTGCTCTTCTGTATCACTTGGCTGTGTCATGTGCAGTGTTGACGCTGGAAGACTCCCTGAACACAGAGACCATGTACAGTGTTTATGAGAAGCGTGTGTACCTAGTAGTTGTGTTAACGGTGAATACATTACAGTATGTATATATGTATGTATATAGTATGTATGTATATATTTCATTAGCCCAATAAACATGCGTACTTCTACATACAATCAACACCTCAACCCGCCAGGATTCGAACCCACGGCCCGCGAGCCCATGACTGTGACCGGGGAACGCTAACCGCTGGACCACCAGGATACTAAAAGCAGTTCTAGACTCTGTTATATTTCACACAAAGCCTGTTCAACGAGCTTATGACGCCGTGAACCTCTAATGGGGACTACCCGTATCACGTAGGTGGTCAGAGTAACGTTTTACCAAATCCGGCTTCGAAACACGAGGATCCATATATATTTCATTAGCCCAATTATATGTATGTATGTATGTGTGCAGTTGGCGAGTTGTCCGGTCTTCTCGGACTATTCCTTGACACTGGGTTATGCAACTCGTTAACTTAGGGTGTGGTTGTTGTGTTGGCGACAACTTCTACACCTTAAACAAATTCACGCCTAGGTTGCCCTAGGGCTGGCCATCCTCGTTACACGAGGGGCAAACATTATGTGTGTGTATGTATGTATGTTTGTATGTTTGTATGTATGTATCCACTGGTCTAGTAGCATGTATATTCTGTACGTAAACGGTGAATGTGGTGCTACTGCATCCAGTGTGTTGAGTGTCTTCTGTAGTATAGTACACTGAGTGGTACAGTGACCTTCATAAGTACAGTGCGAGATTAATCATTGACTTGGGAAAGATGTTTTTATTATAAAACACTTTCAGTAATTTTCTCGTTTCTCATAACTGTTAGACTTAAAAGATAAGATGTTGAAGCCAAGCACGAAACGGGAGTCTTACCTGGTCCAGTGGGCGTTTTGGGTAGGCTGTGTGGGCGTGACGGTCACCGCCCACCATCGTCCCTCGATCCGCAACGACCCGCCTTCTGAGACAAGAGAAGAAAATAAACACAATTGATGATAAATGTAGTAAGTTTATGTGAGTCTGATATACAAGAACAAAATAACAAATAGGAACTTAGAGAGTAAATAGTGATAAAATAAATTGCCAATAGTTAAACTTTGTTGTGAAAGAGAAATTCGAGGAAAAAATAAAATTTTGAAGATTTCCTGTAAATCAAAACAAACATCACAGAAGCAGATCTTAAGAACTATGGAAGATTTATGTCTTTAAATTCGCCCAAACGCTGTGTAGGGCGAGTCAAGATAGGAGATGCGTGAGTGTGTGTGAAGAACAAGAAGATTAATGGGGCGTCTTGGTAATGTAAAACAGACTTTCCGTCAAGAACGCCGGTCTAGAGGTAACGGAGAGGAAGATATTTGAGTGCAGGACTTATGGAATGAAGAATATTTTGGCAGAAAAGACAGAGGGAGTGTTGAACGAGGCAGTAGTTTGCGTTAGTTGTTAGGAGATGTGAGGGAATAATTTGCGCCATTATCTGAAGCAAGAAAGATACACTTACTGTACTGTATATGGAAGGAGAATGGGGAATGGTTTTGGTGGTGTGGTAAAGGAAGAAAACAATGATAGAATGTTTGAGAACGGACGAGAAGGTTTATTCAAGCTTTACACTGTACGTTGTGTAGGTGGGAGGTAGAAGCAGGTCACAGGTGTGTGAGATGAACCGATTTAAGGCTTAACCTGGGTGTGTGGGGTAACGTGAGTGACTGTATTACGTAGGAAATGTTCCCAGGTACCGTTGTTGATCTGAAAATGAAAAAAGTCTGAATATGTGTTTATTATGACAAATGTTAGAGAGAAATAATTAAAAAATAAGGAAATGAGACCAAAATAAAAACGAAAGAGAATTATAAGTCAAGATTAATTGTTTAGAAATAATTCCCCCCATACTCTCTCTCTCTCTCTCTCTCTCTCTCTCTCTCTCTCTCTCTCTCTCTCTCTCTCTCTCTCTCTCTCTCTCTCTCTCTCTCTCTCTCTCTCTCTCTCTCTCTCTCTCTCTCTCTCTCTCTCTCTATATATATATATATATATATATATATATATATATATATATATATATATATATTCAAGTAAATCACTGTAGGTGCGCGTGATCAGGTATATGCTGATAACCACAAGGAAAGAAAAACACGAAGTTCCCAAGCGCTTTCGTGTAATTCACATCTTCAGGGGTGAGTACAGACTGTGCAGTCTGCTTTTAGTATATATATATATATATATATATATATATATATATATATATATATATATATATATATATATATATATATATATATATATATATATAATGTGTGTGTGAGTGAAATTAAGGATTGAACCCCCCAAAAAATCGCGACGAATCACACTGGCAAAAAAGCATAATGACGGGAAGTTAATGGATTAGAAATGTGATAATAAGGAGGTGGTGATGAAGAATAAAATAGCTTTATAACTTGGATGAAGAGGAGAGAGAATACAGAGTAGGACCTGTACTAATAGAGGCACTGACCGAGTGAGGCGCCGATGTGAGTGATGTTAGCCAGGCGTTGTAACCGAGGCAGTACCTTCCCCTCCGCCACGCCCAGGTCCACACTCCTACTCCTCACCCCCTGCACCTCGCCGCCCCTCAGTACAGCTGTAACACAAGTAACGACAACACATTATACCAGGTTACGTCATGTGTCTAGAGCGAGGTAATAGTGCTGTAATATAACACGACACAACACACGGGGCAATAATGATCCTGTACAGTATTATAAAGTCATATATATATATATATATATATATATATAATGTATTTACTTTTTTATTTGCCTATTTTCTTTCAGAATAAAACTTAAAATTACTAACACTTTACCCCTCGCCTAGTGCCATGTCAGCAGTATAAAGTGCCAGAGGAAATGATGATACTCGTGTGTCTGTAACGATCGCCACCAGAAACAAACCCTAACTGACCTCTGGACCCTCCCCAGTACCTAGATCGTCAACATTAGACCCTCACATTGTGCCTCGCTTTACTATATGGCGAATAAAAATTGACTAAATGAAAAGTCTTAGAGGACAACCCATTAACTTCCTGCGAGAGGAACAATCGAAAATTACCAAGCTTATTAACTGCAGTGCGAGAACTCTAGAACTTATCCCCTTGTGTACGGGTCCCCTCTAAATCGTCTGGCATTGGCCAAATAAAATATTAAAAGTGGCGTCCTCGTAGTGAAGGGGTTAGTGGAGATGTTTACTAACAAACTCTTTAGAGAGCTAAACCTTCTTTTACAGAGTGTGCACGCGCTGACACACACACCAAGTACCTGTCCATCTACGTTCCTAAAAAAAAATGGTCTGACTCACTCCTTCAGTGATCCCTGACCCTCTGCCAAATCCCGGTGAGGTCCCTCTCGTGTTGACCCTGACGACCTAATTAATTTATGCGGACTGACTGACGCAGACACTAATTGCAACACCCTCTCCCCTCACCTCCTCTCTCTGGTAGCGAGGATGATAAGTTACATGGTTGTTCAATCATGACTTGAACCTGTCTGAAAGTACCCGTAGAAAAAGACAGTCTCTTTAACACAGATGAAAACACTCATTGGGCAAATCATTCGTCTTAACTCGTGTACAAATACTCGTAGATCAAGACACTCACCTGAACACACCTGACAGTGCACGCGCTAAATCGTGCAGGTGACTGAGGAATAATTACGGGGCCTTGTTAGGTGTAAGTAGGAGGCTGATTAATGTATACAGGACATGGCGTCATTACCGGCCCCGACACCTCCCATGGCCCGCCTCCCTGGGATTATCCCCAGCTGGACATGGGGTGAAGAGAGGGCCGAGAAAGGAGGGATGGGGATAAGAAGCGAGAGACTGAGGAAGGATGGGTGTGGGAAAACGAGGATGGGTGTGGGAAAGGAAGGATGGGTGTGAGAAAGGAAGGATGGGTGTGAGGATGAGCAGAGTAATATCTGAATGACATAAGAATGGGGATGATGATTACTTTCTGTTTTATTAGCGCCTTCTACGTCTTCATTATTTTACCACTGTATTTTCTGTGACATTCCTACATTGCCTCGCTACTTACTCTCTCAATTTGCATCATCACTAATAAGAATTCTAGTTCACTTAAATTGTTCGCAGGACTTCCTCGTTCCATTAAGCTTTTTCTTTCTATCTCACTTCTCAGTTCCTCACACTCTATCCGTAGTTATTGTATCATCGCAATGCAAATATTTCGCTAATGAACAGGAACTGTAACTAATTGTAAAAAAAAAAGCTTTAGTGACGCAAGAATTCAGTGTAACTCGTTCTGGACGACTTAAGTAGATGTAGGATCAGGGAATTACCTCATTACAGTAATAAGTTCAACTACATAAAGAAATGACGTAACAAGTACACGAGAAAGAGGTGGCACAACTCACCTGAGAGGGCTGGGTCCAGCAAAAAGCACTTTATCTGCAGGTTATCACACGCCTGAAGGAGACTCGAGAGTATAGCAGTGACCTCCCGTCTTTCGCACGCCCATGCTGCCGTGGTGATCTTGTCCGTGGGCGTGGGGAAGGTGTGTGTGACGTATGTCGGGCGGATGGCGGTCAGAAAGTCGCAAGGGTAGTTAATGTTGACTCCTGACGGCAGCTGGAGGCGGGCCAGGTGCCGCCGCTTGGCTAAGGGTTGCCAGAGGGCAGCAACCCGCCTCAGTTCCCGCTCCTGGTGGCGGGATTTTGATGCCACTTCCCACGGGGGCTCCAGTGACTCTACCAAGAACATGGAGTCTGGACACACAGCCGCCGCATGTTGGTGAGGCGCTGCACCAGCGTGAATCTCCAGGAAGAGCTCTGGGAGAAGCAGGTGGTGTGATGCTTTGTGTGTTGACCAGTCCAGGGTGGCCAGGGTCGTTGTCCGCATGATCATTGGCCCCTCTAGCGTGTGGCACAGATGACACTCGTACATTGAGGCGTCGTATCCCCGCTTGTACACCAACTGCCCGCCCGCCTCCCTTGCCTGCAGGCACCCCGCCCGCCATCGTCCATCCACACCCCGCACTGAACCACCCACCGCCCACACCCTCGCCCACTCTGCCACCCACACCAATCTTTCCAGACGTGAATGGCCACTCAACTGGGATAAGCGCGGAGCAAGAAGAACGTATGGTGTAGTTACGTGAGTCAAGATTCTGGTAAGCGCTTGTGTTATTGAGGGTGTGGGTCTTTCTATTATCAGGTTTTGTCGATTCTGCACTAACGCGTCCGTGACCAGAAGAAGAGGCAGACCAGGATATAAACGATTAAAGTCAGACAGTAGACTCACCAGGTGCTTATGCTCCACATCCCATACAACGGCCGTCACAACCTCCCGCAGTGGTAGGGCGGAGCAGTTAACGCGAGTGAACCCTTGTATATAGCGCGGGTATCCCACTTTGGAGCCCAAGAACTGTTCTTGGCAGGCGAAGCGTCCATTTGGCTTACCGGGCGCAGCCAACACTGCCGCCTTCGTGTCGTCTTTGTTGGTGTCCTCATCAACGTAGTCCATCACACGTAGGTGTAGGGCGGAGGCCAGGTGACGTAGCAAGGTCCTGGTGCCCATCAGGTGGGCGCGCAGTGCGGGGGGCGCCAAGGGCCGGTCCAGGCGGTCCAGGGCGGCCACTACTTGCTGCAGTGGTCGCTCGAACACCCGCCAGTAGGTGTGGGGAGGCCCTCGACGGGTGAGACATTCCTCACATGCCCCAGCACTCCCACCCGACCACTGAGGTCCGGAGTCCCCTACCACCTCCACCACGTGCCTGTGTATAGGAAGGAAGTGATTGAAGGTTCAACATGAAGTACCAGCTTCTCATTACATGTAACTCCACCATTGATCGTCACAGAAACACACTCACTCTCTGATTTTCTTTTTGCCGACAGTAATACTTTTTTTTTAATTCCTTTCCACTAAATCATTGCTGTCTTCGTTGTGTTGTGTTAATTTTACTCTAGAAGTACAATTATTGTTGTTAATACTTAAAGTTGTATATAATATCCTGACACTTGTCTTAAACAGCTGCTATAAAAGGTAATCCCTTGTCACCAGTTGTCTCTCTTAAGTGATTGTTTTGTTTACTCTGGCTACTAAGGGACCGCAGTATCATACAGTGTAATTAATAGCTATAGTACTAGCAGTCTGCTAGCGATATTCATCCTTAAATCGAGTACTTATCCTACAAAACAAAATAGTATAAAAAATCTAAATTAAAATTGGTAAAAAGATTATAAAAAACACCCTCAGTTCTCAACCCTCTTCACATAACTACTAATGGTGAATTGTATCATAAGACCGTTTCGTGAATTAAATACCTCATAATTAACTAAGGTGAATTTTTAAAGTAAATTCCCACCGAATCTTGTACCGTTGTAAGTCATCACCAACAGAATGGCCTTTATCATTTGTTCTTTACCTTCGTGCCAGAGTTTATTTTCATCTATGCATCGTATTATTAACTGTCATAGAGTATATCATGTCCATATTTCTCTATATCTACTATACTGTATACTCTTACTTGCTGAACTAAAGATATTCCTTCACTTTGCTCCTCCTTACTCGTCTGTAGTGAGGAAGTTTGTGTAACTTTCACCTACACAGAGGCTTCTTCACCTAACTCTGGTCGCGCTCCACGATGTACAGTACAGTATATGCCACTACCAACTCATTTTCATTATGTTACTCGAGTCACAAATTATGCATTTGTGATACCGTTTTGTTAAAGATCGATCCCAATGAGACTACTATTACTTTATACGTCTCCTATTTTTGAGCACTACTGTACTAGTTTTCTTATGTTTTCTTTCACCTGTAATCTCCCTTTCCTGCACAACGTTCTTCAAAACAATAACAGTTCTTAATTATTCATTCACAAAATTAACAAGCCAGTACCATCTGTATACAACGGCTGTAAGAGCTGTCAACATATAGCCACATTCACCTCATGAAAAGTGTGATTAACGGAGATGACAGTACACAGTTCTGACTACCTCACAAAATAGTACAAAATCACACACTCGTTAACCCCTTCGTTGCGTTTTCCCGCACTTGCCATTTTATTCAGGCTACCACCAGACGATTTTATTCAGCTTAGGGTAACCTCCCGCAGCCAAAGGGTTAAAACCTATCTCGATTAAACTATATTGTACACTCATTCATATTCTACTGGGGGAGAGAGTGAGGGGACCTACCTGTAATATGTGGACAGGGTGGAGTTACGGGTAAATGCGAGGTCCTACCTGCGTGAGAGATTACCTGTGAACAGGTGTAGTGGTGGAAGTGAGGGTGAGGGAGATAAGCAGCAAGGTCCAAGAGCAGGAGGCTACACACAGCAGAACCAGCTGTACCGCCGCCTGCCGCGTCTCCCTGGAGCACCACGCACGTCCACACCACGCGCGTCCACACCATCCACGTAAGCGGCAGCTCCCGCTGTCCACGCCCGTGTCTGAAAACCACAACACCAGATGGAAGGAGAGATCGTCCTTGTATTGGAGAGTCGTCAGGACTGATGACAGCAGTCTCCCGTCACAGTACAGCCTGGATAGTGATGGTGAACTGTACTGTACCCTTGCCGTTGTAACGTTATTGTTATCTCTGCATTTGTCCAGAATATTATAATACATCCATAGTAATATAAGTAATGAACCTGTAGGTAATAAGCTACATAGTTATTGTACTGCAGGGAATGGCCATATTTCACTCGATTATAAAACTGAAGAGAATTAACATATATTCATAGTTATAATAGAAGATAAAACATAATATACAAGTAGTTATAATACCAGGATAATTAACATTACATATCCAAAATTATGGAAATGAGCTAAATATATGGACACTTACATATGACTTACATCTGACAGTGTGTAGTTAGGACAGAAGAGGACTGCGTCTTTCTATGAACGGACACTATAAATCTCCACTAAATTCATTTACATTATTAAGTATAACAAAACTTGGGGCGCGGATCTGGATACACTATACTGTATCTAATTTTAATTAAATTAAGTTTCACTTTAACATACTATATTAATGTTGGTAAACCCGCCAGATGATGACATGAACGGACAGTGAAATTTACATTAATTTAGTGTTCAATTGTGATTTATGTCCGGTTAGCAGCTCTAGATAGGGATTAATTACTTCTATGTTTAACTCTAAACGTTAGATAAACCACGGAACACCGAATTTGTACGATTAACCTATAGATAAACATAAGACAAAATAAAATTGAGGCCTCGCAGTGTGTAAACTGGTCCTCAGTTCATCACCACCAATACAATCCAAATTGATGTACCCAAGACCTGACACAATCTTTTTTAATATTGTGTCGACAAAAAAAAAACGAGATCCTTATATTTTTTCCTAAAATTTTTTCTTACTAATCGAAAGAAAAAACATAGGAAGAAGAACACGAAAGGGGAGATGAGAAATAATAATAAGATAAGGATAAAGGGAAGAAAGAGAAGTCAGCACTGCCGCAGGAGAAGGGAGGAAGGGTTTGAGAAGATTAACGCAGGCGTCAGACACTGTTGGGCACGAGGGACCGTGGTCGACGACTTCCGCACACATTTGCATACGCATTACCATATTTTCCCCTCGTCTTTATACTCAGCGTTCCGGATTTAATGGATCCAGAAACAACTGCTACTCAAGTTGGCTATAGTGAGTCTCACAGTTGTACAGTGTGTATCTATCTTTCTGTACGTGTATAGATATATAGATAGATAAATAATGTCAGTTGAACATCCTGCCTGTAAAGGGCTCTCTTTTATATGTGTCGTATTTGTGCTTACTCCTACAGTTGCACCGCCAGCGTTGTCATCGGCAACGGAGATCAGTTGCCATGGCATCCGTGTCCTCTCAACGCCATCACAGCTGACACATGGAGGTGTCAGTGACTGGGGAGAGGATAAAGGATCAGTTCAGTGTGTCACGGAGGATCATTTCCGTGTCGCACACGGTGTCATCCTCCATCACAGGCTTTGGGACCTTTCCGTGAGTGTCGTGGCGATCAAGCCCACTTCTAGGATACCAAGTGCTGGACACTGTTCGTCTTCTCATTTAAGATTATCTTTTGAGCTGACAGCACGGTATAGTTTTTGTGCTCGTCACTGTGGCGCCTCTCGTGTGGAGAACAGCAAGAGATCCTTCAAACTCGCCCACAAAACTAAACAAGTGAGAAAGAATTCAGGAGTATAACTACAGTTGTTAGAAAAATGAAGAGTAATTGGAAGTCAGGATCTGGACTTTCATTGGAAAAACGATTTAAGAAAATGGTGAAGACTACCGCCCGGAGTTTTAAACATTATCTTCCGTTGAGGAGGGTCGTCGTGTTTCAACCAGTTAAAAAATAAATAGTCTTGAAGGACACCGCAGTACAGTACTTGACGGGATGGTGTGGCGGTAAAATTAACTTGTTTCAATATAATAAATTAATTTATTATATTTATTATATTTATTATATTGAAACAAGTTAATTTTACTGCCACACCATCCCGTCAAGTACTGTACTGCGGTGTCCTTCAAGACTATTTATTTTTTAACTCTGGTTGAAACACGACGACCCTCCTCAACGGAAGATGATGTTTAAAACTCCGGGCGTAATGTTTCTGACTCAGCAATAAGGACTTTTTAAAATGGAATGAGTAGAGTTGACTAACGACTTTACGTAACTTCTCCTTTGTATCAATATTAACATCGCCTATCTCTAATGTGTGAGTCATACCCTGGAAATATAAACTCTGGATATTCGTGCAATAACTGGCTGATTTAATACTCGGTTAAAATGAACAGTTTGTATTGATCTATCAGTAATTTTGTTTGTTTACCTATTTGTGTGTGTGTGTGGTCGTGCTCTAACTCCCCAACACTTCCAACTGTTGCCACCAAATATTAAAGTTGACTTCAGGAGGATCCCGCCCGGAGACCACTTGCCTTTGGTTAAGATCAGTCAAAATTAGGTCCTGGCCACACAAAAGTCCAAGTTTTCAGATTAACTTGACAAAGATCATCCTTCAACCTTTCTTGTGTTTAGTCACGATCAGTCAGCAGTCAAGGTCAAAAGTCACTCTGCTGGCATTAAACTGTCATCACCAAACTTGAAATTACATTCCGGTCATCAACTTAAGACTTCTTCTGTGTGAATTAGGTCCCTGGTAGCGTCTTGTAATTGTTTGATTGAGAAGGAAAGGGAAAGTCATTGCAAGACCAAGAAGTGTGATAGGGATGGAGGCCAGCGTCACGGAGGAGGGTCAATGGGAGTCGTGCCAGTGAGGACGGGTCACTAGCCTTTTGTCTCCTTGACGCAAGTGACGGTAAGACATGACAGGCAATCATCTTGTCCTGGTGGTGATGGTGAAGTAGTGGTGATGAAAGTAGTGGTGGTGGTTTGGTTAGAGATAAATGACACGTTTCTTGTTGTCACTGTTGTATTAATATCCACTTTCCCCTTCTCTTAAAGGTCAACTCCAGCCTCAAGTCTTTCATTGTTATTGTTGGTGATTTTCGACAATTTATTGAATTATTTGTGGTGTCATTTTGGCTTAAAAACATGTAACATATGGCACCAGTGTCTGCCTCGTGTGCTGGGCGTGACGTTAGAATAAGAGATCCTTGTTAACTCACACCGACTCCTTACCTTAGTTAACAAGCTTAGCCACGTAGTTACTTCAGTAGAGATTCACGTCGGTATTATAATTCAACAACTTTACGCGGCGTACATCTGTTACAACTTTAATAATTTAATATGGTATTCACCTTAACACATTATTTCACTATGGCTGGAAGGAAGCTAATCTCACCTGTTACCAGTCCTCAGAATCCTCATGCATATACTTGCCCTGGTGAGAAGTAACTCCCGTGCCTTGCAGTTATGTGAAAAAGGTGTTGAATTCGCTTGTGGTCGCCATTGCTTGAATTGCTCTTCTTAACTTCTGTACTTTATTACAAAGATCGATGCAGACACAAGAGTAACACTTGTTCGTTGTTTGTATTTGTTTGAAAGTTTTACTAAGGGTTGTCAGGTGAAAAATTACAATAAATGTGTAAGGCAATTGGGTAGTGACCATCGTGGAGTTAGTAGCGGAGTGATATTGGGGTTCTGCTTCGCTATGAACGTTAATCAAAGTTCGCGCGCCAAATATGTTTTTTATATTTTTGTTTTCCAAATAAAGTACACAGTACACAATACTCAGTACACAGAGCATAACACAGTGCACAACTTACACTATACAGTACACATCACAATACACAATTTACACTACACACTCGACACGATACACTCGACACGATACACTCGACACATTACACAACTTACACTACTAAATGATAACACAGTACTGGAATATTCGTTTGAAGAGGATCACCCATATTACGCATTATTTGTGTCATTAATTGTGGTGGTGGTGGTGTCCTCCTGCATACATACGACCACTTTAACCTTTTCTCGTAAGTGTTTATTAATTTTATTCTGGGGAGGCTCGTACTCAACGGCAGTCAGTAGTTGTTGTTGTTGGAGTACGAGTTTGTGTAGCTGTTTGTGTTCTAATAATTGTTGTTATTTTAGCTGTTCAGGATGTTTTGAAGGTAAGTGTTGATTTTGTAGATGTTGTTGGTGTTGTTGTATGTTGTTCTTCTAGTTGGTGTAGTTGTTGTTATTATTGTTTTTTTTGATTTTGTTCTTCTTTGGGATTATATTCTTGTTCTTTTTATTTTCTGTTATTTTTTCCTTTTATTTGTCCTCGTGTGTTGTTCTCTATAATTTGGTAGAGGGGAGGAAGAGATGTGGACTCGTGGGGGGCGAGAGGGAGGAGATTGAGGAGGAGATTGAGAGTAAGAGCGAGTGTTTGAGGGAAGGAGGGATGGAGGGGGGAGGTGTAAAGATTGAGAGTAAGTGGAGGGGCGAGTGTTTGCGGGAGGGAGGGAGGGGGGGGGAGGGGGTGTGGAGATTGAGAGAAGAAAGTGATAGAGGACAGAAAAAGGAGCTCACTGAGAGAACTATATTTACATTATTATTCACTACGTCGCTATATTCCAAAACATATTCTACAGTTTCTTAAAATCATCTACAGAAACAGCAAATTCCCAACCCAGACTTTCACCCCCAAGAAAAAAAAAAGGAAAAATTGTTCACACTATTTTTTGTTGCTCTTATAACTAATTTATTTATTTCTATGCTAAGTGATGCAAAAGTAGGGATTAATTATATTGATATATTGTTGGTCACTACGAGTCATGACATTATTTATATTTTACTGTTCTATGATGGATCGTGTTTGTGGGTGATATACGTACCAATATACAGTATATAATTATTATATGCATATTTTTTTTGTAATCTCCTCAACGTTTTATCTTCTATTTTTGTAACTATATATTTATACATTTATTTATATACAGCACAGTAGAGAGGGTTGGCAGGAACGGTGCGGTTGGGCTGGCAGCGGGGGTTGGGTAGGTCGCGGATATTTTGCTAAGGACGTAAATTGAATATAAAGTGGTGCAAAACAGAAAGTGATAAAGGCAAACTGGAGCGTGTAGAATGGAAATTGCTTTGTTAAGAGAGAGAGAGAGAGAGAGAGAGAGAGAGAGAGGAGGGGGGGAAGAAGTGATAGAGATTGAG